ACTACAGTGATAAGTGTTATCAAGATACCAGATCAAGCAGAGAGGAGAAAAGCAAGTATGGAAGGAAAGGCCAATATGACATCTATCTAGAATTTTTTTTTTAAAAGAACAACCACAAGCTTCAAGAACCCTGGGAAATGATCTAGAGATCAAACCTAACAATTTATGGGTAGAAGGAGCTGAGATAAAAATTAAAGACATTGTTTTGGCTATCCTGGGTTTTTTGTTTTTCCATATAAAGTTGATTATTGTCCTCTCAAGGTCTGTGAAGAATTTTGATGGGACCTTGATGGGGATTGCATTGAATCTATAAATTGCCTTTGGTAGAATTGCCATGTTTACTATGTTGATCCTCCCAATCCAAGAGCAAGGGAGGGCCTTCCATTTTCTGGTATACTCCTCAGTTTCTTTCTTCAATGCCTTAAAGTTCTTGTCAAATAGATCTTTCACTTCCTTGTTTAGAGTTACCCCAAGATATTTTATGCTGTTTGTGGCTATCGTAAAAGGTGAAGCTTCTCTGATTTCCCTCTCTGCTTCCATATCCTTTGTGTATAAGAGGGCGACTGATTTTTTGGAGTTGATCTTGTATCCTGCCACATTACTAAAGCTGTTTATCAGCTGTTAAAGTTCTTTGGTGGAGTTTTGGGGGTCGCTTATGTACACTATCATATCATCTGCAAATAACGAAAGTTTCACTTCTTCCTTTCCAATTCGAATCCCCTTGATCCCCTTATGTTGTCTTATTGCTATCTATTGGGAGCTCACCAAGGCCAGCTGGACTGTGACTGAAAAAGCATGGGATAAAACTGGACTCTCTGAACATGGCGAACAATGAGAGCTGATGAGACGCCAAGGACAATGGCAAGGGGTTTTGATCCTACGTAATGTGCTGGCTTTGCGGGAGCCTAGCCAGTTTGGATATTCACCTTCCTAGATATGGACGGAGGGGGAGGACCTAGGACTTACCACAGGGCAGGGAACCCTGACTGCTCTTTGGACTGGAGAGGGAGGGGGAAAGGAGTGGGGGGAGGGGGAGAAGGGTGGGAGGAGGGGGAGGGAAATGGGAGGCTGGGAGGAGGTGGAAACTTGTTTTTTTTTCTCATTTTCTCAATAAAAAAAAATTAAAGACATGCGGGTGGTGGTGGCACAAGCCTTTAGTTTCATCACTTGGGAGGTAGAGGCAGATGGTTCTCTAAGTTACAGGCCAGTTTGGTCTTCAGAATGAGTTCCAGGACAGCCAGGACTACCCAGGGCTATACCACCCACCCTGTCTCAAAAACAAAAGAAAACACAAAGCAAAAATTAAAGCATAAAAATCTATCTAATGAAAATAAAACAGAAACAATGCCAAATCTCGGGAAAAAATCATAGTTATCCAAGTACCAGAGGCATTTAAAATCCCAAGGAGACATGATCTAGACATAAAATATCCATTACAGAAACAGCATTGTGGCTGAGAGAAAAATCACCACCTCAATTATTAAAGGAGAACCATCAGGACAACAGAGGACTTCTCAACAGAAGCCCTAAAAGCCAGCAAATCCTGGCATGATACATTTCAAACTCAAGTGAAAACAAACCCCAACAGTCGACCACAAGCACTGTCTCCAGAAAAGTTACATTAGCACCAGGTGAAGCAGCAAGGAAGACAGATACAAGTCAAGCACACCTCAGTACTAAAACACCTAAAGGAATATCACACACAAAGAAATGGAAAGGGGGTTCTTAATCAGAAGAGCACAAGAGAGAACACATTTCATAAAAGAAAGAAAGGGTCTTAGAAAAATAAGAATGATCCAAACCCCAAAACAGCTAGATGGAAAGAAGAAATAAAAATAAAATCCTGGTAGATAATAATGAGTTGTCCTCATCAACCTAAACCATGAAACCCAATATAGACAAGTTCAACAGAACTGCCATATATGGGCAGCCCATGCATGTTTCAGCATTGCCAGGGCATAAATAAATAATAATAAAGGTAATAATGAACTGAAGATAAAGAACATGACAAAGAATCAACGAAAGAAACTTTTTTCCCCCAAAACAAGATCAACAAAAACTTAGTCTAACTAATAAATATAAATAATTCAAGAAAACCAAACATGGAAAAAGAGGCGTTAAACAGATGACAGTGAAATCCAGAGGGTTATTAGGAAGGTCTTTGAAATCTTGGAAAATCTAGAAGCAGTGGGCAACTTTCTAAGACACATATCAATTACCAAAATTAAATCAAGATGATATGAACAATTTCCACAGATCTGTAAATGAACAATGAGATTGAAGTGTCACAATGAACAACTGATGCAGCAATCAATTAGTAAAAGAGATGTGATGTGTGTGTGGGGTCTTCTATCTATCTGTTGCTTTCATTGGTTAATTAATAAAGAAAACTGCTTGGCCTGATAGGTCAGAACATAGGTAGGCAGGGAAGACAGAACAGAATGCTGGGAGGAAGAAGGCAGTGAGGCAGACGCCATGAAGCCAGACATGCTGAATCTTTCCTGATAAGCCACCACCTCGTGGTGCTACACAGATTATTAGAAATGGGTTAATCAAGATGTGAGAGTTAGCCAATAAAAGGCTAGAAATAATAGGCCAGGCAGTGTTTAAATGAATACAGTTTGTGTGTTGTTATTTTGGGTGTAAAGCTAGCCATGTGGGAGCTGGGCAGGACGAAAAGCAGGCCTGCTTGCCTCCTCACTACAGAGATGTTTTCAAGAAGACCTGAGACCAATGTTCCACAAAGTGCTCCATAAACTAGAAAAGGAAGGAACAGTGTCCATCAATTCTACAAATTATTATCCTCACGCCCAAATCAGATAAGCATGCAACAAAAACAAAATACCCTAAAAAATTTCCCCAATAAACATGTCTGCCAAACTTCTCAAAAATATTTGCTAATTGAGTTAACAAATCAAAAAGTACTATGATGATCAAATTTGTTTCATCCCAGGAGCACAGAGATGGTTAAATACATGTCAATTAATAAAAGCAACACAGCACATAAACAGATAAGGGATCCTAGCACATTATGAAAAAATATTTCAGAAATACATTATAAAATAGAGTTAGGACAGAAATCACAGTCTACCATGGATTCATGATGAAATCCCTAAAGAAATTATAAATACAAAGAATATACTTCAATATAACAATATCCATATGGCAGAACTACAGTCAGAATTACACTGCGTGGGGAAAGATGAAGTGCTTTTCTTTTTAAATCAGGAATGATAGGAGTGAGCCCGCCTCCTCCTCCATTCTGTTCAGTGTGCTGCTTGAAGTCTTAGAGAGAGCACTAAGCAAGAGGGAAAAAAAAAGATAAGCTGGAAAGATATTAAATCATCCCTACTTAAAAAAGCAAGCTGAGTGTAGAGTTGCAGGCCTGTAATCTCAGTGCTGGAGAGCTGAGGCAGGAGAGCTGCTGTGAGTTTGAGGTCAATCTTGACTACATTGTAAGTAACAGTCTGGCAAGGGCTACATAGCAAGGCCTTGTCTGAAGAAATCAAGCAAGCAAACAAAGAAAAACCACAAGAGAGAAGCCCAAAATCAACTCACCTGACTTTCCACACAGCCACCTCAGTGAATGAAAGTGCAGAAATTGGGTAGTCACATGTATAAGAAGGAAATTGCGTCCCCACACTCCCAAACAATTACCACTTCAGTTTGGGTCAAAGACTTAAAGATCTGCAGCATGAAAACTGCTTGAGCAAACATAGAGATAACACAAGATACAGACACAGTGAAAGCCTTTGAGGACACCAGTACCCTGGGGGAACAACAGAAACATTGTCAAACGGGATTGCACAAAGTTGCCAAGTTTCACACAGCACAAGAAGAAATCAACAGTCATGAGGCAGTGTGCATAATTAGAGACAATCTTTATCCACTATCTATTCGTCAGGGGATTAAAATAAAGAATACAAGACCAAGCCCCTACCCCCCTACATTAAGGCTGAGCATGGTATCCCACCATAGGGAATGGGTGCCAATAAGCTAGCTTATGCCAGATAGATCCTGGTCCTACTGCCAGGTTCCTCACAGATAGCCCAAGTTTCACTACTGTCTCCCATATATGGAGGGCCTAGTTCGGTTTCATGCAGGCTCCACAGCTGTAGGTCTAGAGTTCCTGAGTTCCTTCCAGCTTGGTTCAGCTGTCTCTGCCCGAATTGAATGTAACAGACTTTGTTGACTTCCCACGAGAGCCCTGCTGGGAGGAGTGGATGGTGGGTGGGTTGGCAGAGGGGGGTAGGGGGCAGGAGGAGGTAGGTGAAGAACTGTAGATAGAATGTAAAATAAAATTTTAAAAAATCAATTAAAATAAAAAAATCAAAGGGAAAAAAGAAACAAATAAAGCATACATACAAAATTGAAAAGATTAATTGCCAAAATTCAAATCATTCAATCAATAAATGGGAAGGTGAATTGGACATATTTTTTTTTAAAAAAAAAGTAGTGTCCAATAAGTATTTGAAAACAAATCAACATTTTTGGTCACCAGGAAAGTACAAATCAAAACTACATTGAGATTGTGTCCCACCCTCGTCAGAACCATTAGGACATGAATGACGTGCTGGGCATCGTGGTACACACCCGAAGGCAGAGACAGGCAGAACTCTGGAAGTTTGAGGTCAGCCCAGTCTATACAACAAATTCCAGGTCAGTCAGGGCTCCATAGTAAGAAAACATACACACACACACACACACTCACACACACACACCAAAAAGAAGGCAAAGTTTTGAATGCACATGTGTGAGATGTAAAAAGGTTCTCTATTTTATTCATTAAAAGAATAAAAGAAAGTGTTACAAAAATCAAGACTCAGCCCTAGCATCAGTTGTGGCAGAATCCTCTTTGGCCATTCTCATCCAAGGTACCAGGGATGATGTCTCATTTCTTTTATTCCTGTATTTGATTTTCCCGCCTTTCTTCCCTGTTGTGGGTTAGAGTGGGATCTTGCGCGTGCTAGGCAACTGTTCTCTCACCATACTGCAGTCATTCATAAGCCTTTGATATAACTAGCTACAGCATTTACAAGGTTCAAGGAACAGGGGAAAAAGAAAAACTTCCTTTCAAAAAAAGGAGCACAGCCATGAAAACCATCTGCTATATGGTACCAGGTCACAGGGACCCCCTGGTCTTCCAAGCGCTTCTTGTAGAGCAAGCCATCATCCCGGACAATGTCCCACTGAAGGGTCACCACAAATGCCTCAGGAACCTGAGCAATAATTTTGTCATCTGCTATGAGGGGACAAAGATCTTCCCTCATAATATGTTTGATTTCTAGATAGGCAGCCTCATTAAAAGGTGCAGGTGACTCTGGTTGCTGGTATTTGCTCCTGAACATTTTAGGGATGTTCTCAGGGCCTAGCCATTTCTCATACTTCTTCCAGGCATGTGGGGGCATCCAGGCACCTGTCAACATAGCATCTTTCCAGGAGGCATCAATGGCCAGATATCTAGTAACACAGGTCATCATGAAATCTTTGGTGAGAAATGGAACATTTGCATTCTGCAGATGTGATGGAGACTGGAGGAAGAGTGGCTGGAGCATTGGATATATCAGGACCTGAGCCCGGATCTTGGGAAGATCTTCTCTGCCCACCAAGGCCTGTGTGATAAATGCTACAGCCCCAGCTCCAATGCTGTCTCCGCAGAACACAACCCGGGAGGGGTCCACCCCATAGGCATGCAGAGACTTCAGGAAGTGAATGGAGGCATTCAGACAATCATGTGCAGAAGAAGGATGATGGTAGTAAGGAAGCTTTCGGTACCTACAGAAGGAAGACGGGGGACAGCACATCAGTGTGTGCAGGGAACTCTGAAGACTTTTTGAATTACATCCTCTACTCACCCAAGAGTCTAATTGATTTAATCTTCTACATGACCCCAGCAATGGAAGAGTGTCATCCCTATTTTCCCCTGTGTGAGTTTGAAGAAGCTGCCAAAAGTCAGTTACTTGAATTCTCTATTCAAACCCATGTCTTGATTAGATATAGTTGACACATCATGCAAGTTGGAACCTATTGGCTTTGAAGATAGAATGAGGGCTAGAGAGATGGCCTAATATTTAAATGCTAGGTTCACAGCTAAAACTATGATGATAGAACAAACTATAAAGACAGAAAAGAGGAAACTGAAGATTTAGTTGATCCTGCTGTGCCTGTAAGCCTAGGTAGAAAGAAGAAAGATGAAATCAAGGTATGGCTGTGGCTGTTTTCAACTATGGAAGTGAATGAAAGGAGGAGAGGGGACAGGAAGGAATGAGAGGGGAAAGGGGTCAAGAAAAAGAGAGGGGAGGAAAGGAGAAGAGAGTGAAGAGGAAGAGAAAAGGAATAGAGAGTAGAAGAGAGGAGGGGAGAGGAAAGAATGGAGGGTGAGAGGGAGGGGAGGAGAGAAAGCTCTTCACAAGTCTGGCTCAGGCAACCCTATCAGGCACTGTCCACTGAAGGTCCTTGACAGTGCAAAGTCTCTGGTAGTGGCTGGTAATATAAATCTAGCTAAGGATGAGCAGTGAGCAAGCCAAAAGCAGTGCTTCTATATGGCTTCTACCTCAAGTTTTTGCTAGAGTTCCTGCCTTGCTTCTTTTGGTGATGGATGGTGACCCGAAGGTGAAAGTCACATAAATCCTTTCTCCTCTAAGTTGCTTTTGGTCAGAGCATTCCATCACAGAGACAGAAAGCAAACCAGGACAGCAGTTACTTAACGATGCAGCAGGCGCCTGCAGACGATCATCCAGCAATGACAGGGGCCTTCATTGGGATTTCCAACCACACTTACTCCTCTCCCATCATCTTCCAGGCCTTCCCTGGGAGAAGGCTCTCATGGGTGTGTCACAGTGTGTCCTCTTTATTTTATGTCATTGAGTCTGTTTATTCCAAAGACATTTGTTTGCTTTTACTTAATTTTTAATTGTGTGCACATGTGCATGCATATGTACATAAGTGACTGGCAGGGCCTGAGGGAATGAGGTGAGGGCATTGGATCCTCTAGAGCTGGAGTACAGGGGAGTACTAGACACTTAACTGGGGTCTTCTGCAAGAGGAGTACATGCTCTTAACCACTGAGTCATCTCTTCAGCCCCTAGAATACATTCTCTTGATTTTAATTATTTTGACTCCACAGGAAAGTTACTAAACTGTTAGCTTTTGAATATATTTTCCTTAATTTTATCCTGCTAGGATTCCTTTATCTTGGCATACCCTCGTGGTTCTAAATAGTTATGTAACGTTCTCTAATATCACATGGTTCAGACGCTTACTTAAAAGACTTCTTTGTTGAATAGCAGCGCCATCTCTGTGGGCAGCCTACATCTACATTAAGAAAGAAATTTGTCCCTGAAGCATTTTGTAAAGCAGAACTGTGGGCAGCCCTTTTCCCTCGTCCATCCTGGGACAGCTTATAGGAGCTTGCAGCTGACTAAAATTGGGAATATTGTACTCAGTAGGGTAAAAAACAAATCAAGAATATAATAAAACCACATATTGTCAAACTAAAAAAAAAAAGACTTCTTTGTTCATATCTTAGTGCCCAGGTGGTTGATTCCGTCATTGAGACATTATCATACCATGAAACTTCTAGCATTATTAAAGGCTCAATTACTGGTGGATTTGTAATTTTCATAATTTGGTTTCATCTTTCAGTAGTTACCATAACTGGTACTATTTTGGAAGTACTGTCACCTACTGGGGCATCTTACTAGCCCACTTAGCCAATGAGAACTAAGAGCACAAAACAGAACAGAAAGAAAATGTATAGTGTGGTAGAAAAGTTGTTGACACAGAGGATGAGGCTGCAAAAGAGTTTAACATATTTAAAAACAAATTGAGGGGATATAGAGCTATCTTAGTGGGTAAGAGTGCTTGCGGTTCGATCACAATGACCAGAGTTCAGATCCCAGCACCAACAGTTAGGTGTCCTGCAAATACCTATAACCTCAAGGGATCTGATGGTCTCTCCTGGCTTCTTTATACACCCACAACAACATATATACACACATACTAAAACCTTAAAATAAATAAATAAAACAACCAAATCAAATACTTTGTACTGGGGCAAAGGGAAAGAGTCCTCCAGAGCTTCTTAGATATTAAACTGATTTCACTCATGACAAACTCCAGGATAAAATTATAAACTCATTTGAAAGACTTTTGCCTGAGATTATAGTACTGCCAGGGTGCCCAGCTTGCACTGGTCCACCTAGAAAATTGTCCTCCCGGAACACATTTCCTACTGATAATTGCCTAGGCATTCAAAGTTCATTGTGGCTATGTTCTAAGGGAGCCCAGCAAATGCTGCAACTAGTGGCGACCTGGGCATCATCTACACAATGCTGTATGTGCAAGCATGTGAAATATAGTCACTGGGTTGTGGAGACAGAGGCCAAGTAAAGTATGAGACAGCTGGTTTCCCTGCACCATACCTATGAGAAGGAATATGTAGGCTAAGCTCCAATGAAGACCTGAGGAAATAGGAGATCCAGGAAATTGAATAATATGCTGAAGGACACCACAAAGAGCAGATGGAGGTCACATAGACTTCTGCCAACAGGACTATAGAAGTACGAATGCCCGAAATTCTGGGGTATGAAACCATATCACCACGTATCAAATAAGAGCATAGAACTCTAAGACTTCATGTTTGCTCTGCTGTCTATTAGCCTTTCTTGGCCCTGGCTTTTGCCTCTATGACACCATTTCTTCCTTTTGTGAATGAGAATGCTTGTCCTGTGCCACTGTATGTTGGAAGAATGTAATTTGCTGTTTGAATTGTATGACCAATTCACAGCTAAGAATGGGACCAAAGTTCAAAAGACTTTAGACTTGAACCTTGTAACAGGGCTGAAACTATCAAACTTTGGGACTCTAATACTAGATGCATTTTACATGATGAGTTGACCATGACCCTTGGATGTTCAGGGGTGGGATATTATTGTGTGTGTGTGTGTGTGTGTGTGTATATACACACACATATACACACACACACACATATATATATATATATATATATATATATATATATATATTATCCCTCAAAAAGTTTATGTTGTCACCTTATTCCCTAGATATGGATCAAATCATTGATATATAACTAGATTATGGAACACTGGCATCATTGATGGTATATTAATTCATGAATTTATAATTTGATGGAATTATTAGACTGTGAATCTAATTGTAAGCTATAGCTTAGGTTCCGTCTTTGAATGTTACCTTGTCTCTGGCCCCTTCTCTCTTTGCTTTCTGGTTACCACAATAAGAACACATTTGATGTATTATACTCTCTTGCTTTGATAATATTCTGCCTTACGGAACAGCAGTGGAACAAGCTGGCCATAGACTGAATTAAGGTTATAGAACTTAGGGTCAAAATAAATTCTTCCCCCTTTAAGTTATTTCTTTGGTATTTGCAATAGCATGGGAAAAAAGTGCACTAAGAGTAATTAATTTTCACCACGGCTATCTCACTCAGTTCCTAATGATGAATGGCTTTCCAGGGTTTTTCTCATTTGTATGAATCTATGCTCATATGTGAGAGGGTCTGTTGGGACAAAGACATGTAGGAATGCCCCTCCTTGTATTTTCCCCTGCTTTGTGAAGAAGCCGCCCACCATCTGAGACTACTCACCCCACTGACAGCAACACTGAGTCTGTCTCTCGGGCCAGGAATGTACACAGGTTATGGTAAAAGTCTGCAAGAGAATAACAGGCATGGCGCACTGTATGAAGAGAACCCAAAAACTCCCCGCCACAGCCCCATGGAACCAACTGATATGGGGACCATGGGATGATCCCTCTGTTCCTAGTATTGTTCTTCTGAAGTGACTCAAGCTACCATGCCAGGGCAAAGTAGGACATCTGCCATAATTTCTTGAGTGTTGGGGGCATAAGTGAACTTTGGAGCACATCTTCTGCACGGTTTAATTTTAAAGTGGGGGAAACTGAAGACCAGGAAGTTTTGAGGTTCTAACTGAACAAAGCCATGTTTGGAGGATTAGCCTGTGGATATGAAGAAATTCACATATTGAACTGAATGTGGCAGCACATGCTTGTGACCCCACCTCTTGGGATATAACATCAAGGTGAACAGGAGTTCAAGTCATTCTCAACTACATAACAAATTGGAAACCAGCCTGGGCTACAAGAGAAGATTCACATATTTATTTGATTAGGAAACAAATGATGAGTAGGTGGACAATTTGGATTAGTATGGTGGTATATTTGAAACTCTAGGAGGCAGGTCCACTGGCATTAGTGGGTAGAAAATCTTTGCCCAGGTTCAGGAACAGAAAGAACTCTCTTTGATTTAGCCCATTCCCTTGATATACAAGGACCATTATCAGTCTTGTGTTCATCTTATGTCCAGGCTGCCACAACTCATTGGATAACGATCTTTGAATTGTGCCAAGCAGGCAGTATGAATCTCTAAATGGCAACAGATAATTCTAGTATTTATGGAGGCTTACTCTGTGGGTGCACACCAGTTACATTGTTAGGCAGAGGATGCAAGTCAGCTTGGAGGAAAACATGACTGGGGAGGTTCTGATCTGAGCTGTCCAGTCAGCGTCTGTCAATGACCCTACCCTCATAGGTTCTGAACACTGCGCAGTAACTTTATTTGAAGACTTTTCAAGTAGGGTGGATCCACCTAGGGGAGGAACTGAATCAAGGTATAGAGAGTGTCTGTGATGTGTGTACCCTTAAAAGTCTCAAGAGAAGTTTGCATAGACAATATGGTATCTCTAATAACTGTCCTGAACCCTAGGACCTGCGTAGACATTGTTGTCTTCCAGTCTTTCAAGTAATTCCTGTTTCAGAGCTTTGAACGTGTTACTTGCCCCCTTTTTCAACTTATTAGGACAAGAGTGAGACAAATGGGAGACCACAATGGGCGCTAAATCATGGGGCCAGGTAAACAGCATTTGATGCAGTATCTTCCAAAATCAAAATTAGAGCCAGCGTATGTCATGAAGAGCACACTTCCAGGACTGTGTTTTGTTGCACCAGGTGGCTCTAGTGAGGGAAGGGGGAAAGGCTTACATCTTCCGCTCCTCCACTTGCTCATGCCTCATTTACCGCACATCGAGAAAAAATAGAGAAACTCCTTAAAATACCTGCACAAACAAGGACTTTTGGAGAAGGGCCCGAGTTCTCAGGAAATAACGCACAGGGACGCAGACAAGTGTAGAGACGGTCTACAGAACAGGAGGCCATCTTTCCTAACCGTGCATCTACTGGAGAATTGCTATTTAGAATATACAAAGAATTCAAAAAACTGAGCAAGAAATCAAACAATCCAGTCAACACATGGGCTAATGAAACAAACAGACAGCTCATAAGATGAAATAGAAATGGCCAATAAACATGAAAAAAGAACTCCAACCTCACTAGACATTAGAGAAGAGCAAAGTTAGACTTCATTGAAATTCCTTCCTGCCTCAGTTAGAACATCCATCATTAAAATAATAAGCCATCAGAGAAGTGCAAATCCAAACAATGCTGAGATTCCATCTTACACTTGTAAGAATAGCCAAAATCAAAAACACTGATGACAACTTATGCTGGAGAGGATGTGGGGTCAAGGGAACACTCCTCCATTGCTGGTGGGAGTGTAAACTGGTACAACCCCTTTGGATATCAGTATGGGAATTTCTCAGAAAATTAGGAAACAACCTACCTCAAGATCCAGCAATACCACTTTTGGGTATATATCCAAAGAATGCTAAATCGTACCACAAGGACATGTGCTCAACTGTGTTCATAGCAGCATTATTTGTCATAGTCAGAACCTAGAAACAACCTAAATGCCCCTCGACCAAAGAATAGCCAGGAAAATGTGGTACATTTACACAATGGAGTACTACACAGGAGAAAAAAATGACATCTTGAAATTTGCGGACAAATGGATGGATCTAGAAAACATCATAGTGAGTGAGGTAACCCAGACCCAGAAAGACAAATATAATATGTTCTCATTCACAAGTGACTTTTAGACATAAAGCAAAGAAAAACCAGCCTACAATTCACAATCCCAGAGAACCTAGACAATGAAGAGGACCCTAGGAGAGACATACATGGATCTAAGCTACACGGGAAGCAGTAAAAGACCAGATCTGCTGAGTAAATTGGGAGCATGGGGAGCATGGGAGAGGGTAGAAAGGGAGGGGAGGAGAGGAGAGTGGAAAATATATAACTCAATAAAAACAATTTAAAAAATAATAATAAAATAGAAATTAAAGAAAACATCAAATAGGTATGGTGGTGCATGCCTTTAAACCCAGTACTCAGCTGAGGCAGAGGCAGTTGGACCTCCATGAGTTCAAAGCCAGCTTGGTCTACAGAATAAGATCCAGGAAAGGCAGGGCTACATAGTGAGACCCTGTCTCAAAAAATAAAGAAAGGAGCACAGGCAGGAAGGAAGAGCAGGGGACAATGACAACAAATGCCAGAGAGGGATGCATGCAGAGAAGGGACACTCCACACTGTTGGTGGGAATGTAAACTAATCAGGCTACTACGGAAATGCCTCAAAAATTAAAAGTAGATCTTCTCTATGGGCCACCCGTACCACTCCTGGATATTTAGCAGAGATGCTTGCACACCAGTGTTGACTGTAGCATTGTGTACAATACCTAAGCTATGAGACCAACCTGGGTGTTCTACAACAGAGGAATGAATAAGAAAAATGAACTACGGATACACAGTGGGATTTGAAGTTACGTTGATTGCAGGAAAATGGGTACAACTGAAGATAATTGTATTAAGCGAATGAAGTCCGTCTCAGAAAAGCAGATGTCACCCCTTTTCTTTCATTTGTGAGTGCCAGGTTTTATGTGTGTATATATATGAAATTAGAAATTAAATTAGAATTAAGATTGTCTAGGGAGCAAATGAGATTAATAAGGGGGGAGGAGGCAGAAGATAGTGGTTTATGGAGAGGGTATACTCAAGGAATATTATATAGTTATATGAAAATAGCCTTATGCAATCCAGTATAATTAAATATAAACTAAAAATATTTAGAATAAGCTCCTACTCTGTGTTTGTATAAGGAACTCAGCCCTGTTAATTCCTGTTTTCATATGAATTCTTTGTTCTTCATGGCAATTTTCCCCTGAGTCTTTTCTAATGGGTTTGCTTTTGAATTATGTGTGTGTGAACATGAGGAGTGTGGAGGTCAGAAGAAGGCGTTACAGGAGCTGGAGTTCCAGGTCCTTGTGAGCAGCCCTGTGCATTCACAGGGAACTGAACCTGGGTCCCCTGCAAGATCCCTCCTCACCTCTGAACATCTTTCTCTTAATACTGTTTTGAAATGTGATATCGTTTGTCTTAGTGTCTGACTTTCTAGAGTCCTTTGTTTTGCAGTCTAGAGCCCTGGCCTCACTCAGCTGACCCAGATCTCCAGTTATGTAGCACTGGCTCCTCCCATTCCTTGATCCCGGCCTCCAATCTCACTTTATTGGAGAGACTGCTTACTCAGAAGCAATGAGGTGCTGGGACTCCAAGTCAGTTCCTATTCTGGGCCTCCACGGTCCAATCTAAAGCCCTCACCCTCTCATTTGTGTTCTGCAAGGTCCAGCCTCTTACTTTGACTGACAGGCCAATGAGAGCAGGGACTGAGCCTTGTTCTCTAGTCTCTGAGAATCCAGTGATAGCTACAACACAAGTTTCCACTCTCAGTGTTTCCATTCTAGGTGAGAGAAGACAGAAACTAAGCAAGGAAACATACTGGGGTCCAAAATAAACATGGACAAAGTAAGCTCTGTGACAAGTAACAGGGAGACCCTCTAGATAAAATGTTCCCTTTTCTCCTCTCAACATTCCCCAAGCAACTCCTTCTTGCTCTTTAAAATATCTGACCTCTTTTCCCATGAACTGTTGTTATGCACATCATGTATATACATATATATTCCTAAATATTCATACAGCCTTCTCAGTCTGTATAATGCTACTTATATGTATGCTTACAGGGCTGCCTATTTGTTCTTGGATGACAACAAGAGACATGTTAACCTAGACTGAGGAAAGCCCACAAGGCCTCAACCCTACACAAAACACGACAGGCAGCGGGCGATGGTGGCGCACGCCTTTAATCCCAGCACTCAGGAGGCAGAGGCGGGCAGATCTCTGTGAGTTTGAGACCAGCCTGGTCTACAGAGCTAGTTCCAGGACAGGCTCCAAAGCCACAGAGAAACCCTGTCTCGAAAAACCAAAAAAAAAAAAAAAAAACACGACAGGCAACTAAAGAATACTAAGACAAGAGAAATAGCCTTCTCTAGGGAAGAAAACAACAATTGGTTATCCAATGCCAAATGGTCAGCCCTGAATTGTACTTTTAAAGATTCTTTTTTTTTTGAGACAGGGTTTCTCTGTGGCTTTGGAGCCTGTCCTGGAACTCCCTTTGTAGACCAGGGTGGTCTCGAACTCACAGAGATCCACCTGCCTCTGCCTCCCGAGTGCTGGGATTAAAGAGGAGTGCGCCACCACCGCCCAGCCTAAAGATTCTTTTTTTGTGGAGAAAGAACCAGCCAGACCATTAACAATGGAGCATCGGGGTCACTATTAGAAGCAGGGCTTAAGGGGGTGAGTCATTGAAGGTGGATTTGGACCAAGGCGACCCAGAAGATTTGAGAGCAATGAGTGGATTTGTAGAACAAAGGGGATTGGAGGTTGACCTCACACCTAATTTTCTGAAAGTCCTACTAGGCAATCACTGCCTCCACCTCAACAGAGATATGAAATTATAGAAAACATTGTCATGGAGGCAACAACCCCATTTACTGGCATGGTCTTCAGTCTTAATCTGCCTGTCACAAAAGGAGCTCCTATGACTACTTGCTTTGACTCCCACCAAAGAGATCCTCATGGGAAAGTGGGTGGGTTGTGGAAGTTATACTTTCTTACTACAGGGATCTTCCTTACCTAGGCTGCCCAGAAAGGTACCTCCTCCATGTAAGAAGAGGATTCCTCGCCGGGGCTTGGAGGAGGCTGCCTTGGGTTGAAAGAGCCTCACAGGGATTGTACCAAAACGCAGGTCCTTCACAAACACACCAAGGTTCTTCTTCCACACAGAGCTGTCTTGTACAAAGCGAAAAAAGTGGGGTGTGGAGCAAATGTTCATCTTCTCAAGTATATTCCCCTGTAAAAAAGAGAGAGCAGTTGGATGTTTTCATAGCTCCCCTGTCCTTTCCATCCTGCAGGCTGCCCAAGCTGCTATCTGTCTCAGTCATGGACTTTCCAAAAAGCTCCCACTTGAATGTGGTTAAACTAGTTTCTCCCAGGATGCATGAATATCCAAAGTTGTTCATGAAGATCTAGAACATGGGGGATGTGAGCAGTAAGGAAAGAAAAGCCATGCCTCCTTGCAGACAGAATTGCCTGGTGGTCTTTCTAGACCCGTGGCCCAATGGTTCTATGTCAGTCTCAGCTCAGTCCCACCATGTTGTATCTGATTTCCATGGAACAGCGAGCCTTTGTTGATAGTTTTGCCCATTCCTTCACAGAGTATGAGGAAAGCCACTCTTCCTGGTCCTTGTTCCACTTGACTCTTATTAGTCCCGTCTTCAGAGTCCACAGCAAAGCCCAGGCTTGCTCTAGAGTCTGTCACAGTCTTTGTAGCGATAAGGCCTGTCTTCAGCCCTCACTGCTTCCCAAAACTTTGCACTTCAGGGAAATTCACTATACCCTTCTTTATAGTTCCCTCACTTACAAAGCAGAGAGCAATTATCATCTGCTTCAGACTTGTATAAACGGAATAAAGGGAAGAAGTATTAGAAATTAGCACAGAATTGAATTGGCAAAAGCTGGCTGCCATTTGGCTGATTTCTTGAGCATCACTAATGCCCTTGGCAGTGACAATACGATATTCTCCAAATGTGAAGAAGGCTGTCGATGGGGATGAGACTACCAATAAGCCTGAGGTCATGACCTCTGTAATTCCCAAGAGGACAAGAAGTGGGACTGGAACCTAAAAGCTATGTATGTCTGTCCATAATAAGTAGATCAGCTCTGAGGCCACTGTAGGGCTGAGGTTGTGACTGAATTAGTGAGCTAGCTGTCACTTCTTACCACATTCATGGACATCAAAACAAGGCATAACAGTAGACTTTCTTTGTCATAATTTGATCCACATTGTACTGTCATGTGCTCTCTTTCTCCATAGGAGAAACACTGAGAACTTTAGAAGATGGTTGGGGCCTTAGATAGTCCCTACACAAAGCCTCCAAGATCTCTTCTGGAAAGAGGGCATTTGTTATATTTTCCTGGGTGTTCTGAGGGTAGCCGAGTTCCTGAGCCTTGTCCTCTGGGAAGTTATTACAGCCTATGCCTCAACCAAGAGCGCAATGACCTAGATTTACATCAGTCCACACTGACAGGGAGCTGCATGAACAAACCCTTCTAGGGTTCCCCCTAATAAACTATTGGAGTTTCTGCCACACCCAAATCCTAAACTCCTTTGCCTTTTTAATTCAACTCTCTTTGTTTACATGTCCTTTTAGGTAACAAAAAAAATATTTTATGTGAATAAGTGTTTTACCTACATGTATGTATATGTACCATGTGCACACTTGGTTCCCTTAGAGACCAGAAGAGGGAATCAGGTTCCCTAAAACTGAAATTAAAGATGGTTGTGAGCCACTATGTGGGTGCTGGACACTGAATCCTGGTCCTCTTCAAGAGCAGCATGTGCTTCTAACCATTGAGCCTCCTCTCCAGTCTGGTTTAAAGGTTTTCTAAGCCCTCGGGTTAATTACTTCTTAATAGTTTGTGAAGTAGAAAGACCTCACTCCTTGCTTCGGGTCACATAATGCTATTAATATATCAAATTATTTTTAAGTTAAACTTTCTTTTGATGATTTCATTTCCTGTAACCCAGGACTGAACTTAAGACATGATAAGACTTTACTTCTGCCCTCCACAAATCTATAATAAACTAATTTTTACTAGCAGCAACCATTGCCTGGGAGATACTAAAAACCCAGGACTCTAGCTTCTGAGAGCTGTCTCTACTTATTCCAAGCTGAACAACAGCCATAGACTCTTACACATCTCATGAGGCTAGGCTCACATATCCCTCACTGAAGGGTCTTGTTTTACTTATGAGGAATCAGAAGTATTTTAACCAACCAGATAAGGGCTTACTGACACACGCTGCTCAATCCCGACAGAGTCACCAAGGGCTCCAACTTCCCAATCCAATAGCTGACATTTGTAAGGGCTTCAGACTTTCTATCAGCTCCCCACTTTCCCCCTTGCTGATTATTCTTCGTGGAAGTAAAGGAAAAGCGAGCACACATCCAGTTCACTCAATAGCCTTCCTTAACAGGCCCTCAGCACTACACCTTGCAAATCACTGACTAATACACACTGGCTGTTAGACTATGTGATTCTTGGTAAAACGCTTTCCCCAGGCTGCAGTTCTGCCTATGCTGGCAAGAAATGATTAAGAAACAAATCTTACCCATGTCATCGTGAGATGAAAGCAGTAGTGCAGAATCCGAAACTTCAGGGGGTGCGTGAGGGCAGGAGGCACATCAATAGTGAGGAGGTGATCTATGAGAACCCACACATTGACTCCCATGACCAGGAGGCACATGGTAGCAAGGAGAAGTTCCACCAAAGAAAGCATGATGCTCTTGTGCCTTCGGAGTGAGCTGAGGAAACCTGTGCCCCAGAAAGACTTTATAAATCTTACCCACAAACTCAGACACCTTATAACCTTCAGAGAGGCACCATGGCCTAAAGTCACCTCTTTTCAAACCCTCCAGCTATTGGAAGCATGCCCATGTGAACTGATTGCAACAGGTGGTAACCCAGAGAGGTTCCTGCTCAGCATCAGTGGAGCCCTTATACCCTGTACCCAGGTCAGAGTCATCTTTCATCACGCCACCCAGGAAGACACCAACCTGCTTAGGAGATGGGCACTGCTGGAGAAGTGGTAGAAAGGGATGCCAAGTGGCAATCAGTTCCCTCAGAGGTTGAGGATACTTGCTGAAGTCATATAAAGTACTCTGTGGCTCTCTTCTCGGGCATGAAATCAGAGATTAGAGAGGTGGTGTGTACCAAAGTAAACCACAATGAGGAAGGACAGAACGAGGTCCCAAACCACCATGTCCTATCCTCACCCCTCCTCTCTACTCCCTAGCCTCATTTTCTTAAAACCATAAATGGGTTTCACAATTGCTCCTTGTTTAAGCCCTGACCTTATGTCCTGCAGTCACGCATTTTGAGGTCTAAGGTCATGCTGTTCTAAACATGTCACCCTAATCTGAAGATATTAAATTCTGAGAGATATTAAACAACTTTCTTCTGAGCACATTTTTGTGTGTCTACGCATGCACACATGTGTATGCATTCTCTCTCGTGTGTGTGTGTGTGTGTGTGTGTGTGTGTGTGTGTAGCAGTGGAAATCAGGTGTTTTCCTCAGTTGATCTCCACTTTATTTATTAAGGCATGGTCTCTTCCTGAATCCAGAGCTCACCAACTATAGTCAGCTTGACTAGGGGATCCACCATGTCTCCTTTCTTACCATCATATCTGCCCAGACATTAAGTGGCCCAAGCTCCCAATTCTCACATTATGTCTTATGAACTGAGACATCTTTCCAGCACTGAGCACACTTTTTAAAAGATAAAATGAGAAATCCAGTCCCTGAATCTGCAGCCACTGCCTTTAATGGATTTTCCATGACCACCTTCCACCTGCCATGCCCTGGCATGGGTTTTCTACTCTCTTTGTGGCTTTTTTTTTCACTGCAGAAATCTTCTAGTCTAAGTGGGCTCATGTAGGTTAAAATATTCATTAATATGCTACATTTAAAAGTACTCAAGAGATAAGTGTCTTCGTTAGGTATATAATAACATGCCAGAGACCATGGATTTATCTTCATTATCAAAATCCCCCAGTGGGTGCTCATCAGCAATTGATGGTGTAAGTCACAAAACAATCTCACACCAGTGGAATTATGGAATTCTATAATTCCATAATCATGGAATTATGATTAATAAAAGGGTTATCTATTTAATGGGGAAAACTTAAAGATCACTGTCCTAGACAACAGCCCTCAGTGCAACCAGGAACAGAGTCTAGCAGCTGGAAGCAGAGCCAGAAGCAAGAGAGCAAGAACAGGGCTACCACTACTTTTGAAAGCAAAAGAGATCATGCCCAAGTAGGCTGGTATCTTAAAGGCTATTGGCTGAAGGAGCAGAAGGAACTCCCACAGCACCTCCCCCCTTTAAGTAAGAGAGTTCCAAATCCAATACAAAACAATATACACTAAGAACAGATATAAAGTATAAGATTAGAATTACAATCAGCATAAACAATATTATGCAAGGAACATATGCTAAATGTTTTAATAAACAATCTATCCTGAGAAGTCTAAGTCTTATATTGGAAATGGCTTGACTAGATCATAAGAGGATGGTAACAGGTGGGGCGACCAGAACAGTAGAATTCTGGGAAAAGGAAAGACTCAGTCTGCAGTCATCACCCAGACACAGAGGAATCAACATGAGATGTATCACTGATAAAAGGTACCAAGCCACGTGGCTAACACAGACAAGAACAATGGGCTAATGTACCGTGTAAGAGTGAGTTAACAAGAAAGCTCCAGCCAATGGGCAACCACTTTATATATAATGTAGGTTTCTGTGTGTTTCTTTGTGACTGAAAGGCTGGGGGACTGGGGGACAGAAACCTGTCAACAAGGCAGGGCCTTCCCAGCCCTTGACTGCCAGACCTCAGGCCTGCCTATAAGTGGAGGCTCTGAGTCCCACGATGTGAGGCAGACAGCTAGCTGTCACTGCCTGACTTTATTCGGAGGAAATGCGTTGACTATGCAGAAGCCCTGTGCGTTTTTACCTGGTCAGTATTTCTCACTTGTTACCAGTTCCTTCCAACCTCTTACCTTGCTGTTGTACGAAAAATGTTTTATAATGAAAGACCTTCACTGGGGATTGAGCTGCATTTAATAAAGTCTATGTTTTTAAGAAAAAAGTTTAAAAAAAAAAAGAGGATGGTAACTATGACTATCTAATCTTCAACCCTATCGAAGGCCTGAGAAAGGAGATAATATTACTTGAGCAGGCAGGGAATGCAATCAAGTAGTTTCCAAAGCAAGCAATATATGATGGAGACAACTAGCTATCTGAACAATCACTTAAAGTCTCATTTTGCAGCGCTGAAGCAACCAACTTTGGCTATGGCCTAACATAATTTACAAACCATTTTCAGAGGCAGGAAATTTTTCAAAACCGTCTTATCCTATCTTGGCAAGATTTGACAGTCCTGCTTATCCATTTCTGGATATCATGTAACTTGTCAGTGGTTGAGGCATTGTCAGTTCCTTGTCCAAAGACAAGTTTTGCCAAGAAGAAAACAAGCTCCAAGTGGAGTGTCTTTGGCGTTCAACTTTCTCTCGGGAACAGATTGGTGCTGTCAGAAGCAGTCATGTCTCTTGTCAACAAAACCCTAAGTTATTTAAATGTCATGTTCTACAGATCCTTGAAGTAGTTGAAGATTCCTTATCTAGACAGAATACAGTCTCTATATATCTAAAGAACCTAATTGATCTGACTGTATATACAACAAACACGAACAACTATTGACCTATAATAATTAATACCTTATTATGTAACTTAAAGAGTAAAACTTCATGTCAGAATATTAAACATTCTATAAATAAATGTGCAACAAATGAGGGCAGTGACCTCAAAATATAAACAATCTATAAGTATTTTGATCAGAGGTAGGAGTAATATATAATGTAATATGAAAATATATCCTAAAAGTTGTATCAATATACAAAATGTCCTAAACCAAGGTAGAAACATGAATATATACAATCTGAAAAAATAACTTTGCATTGGTATACAAATGTAAACAAAAGTAACAGATATAATTTGAACTTGTATCAATATACAAAAGCTATACCAATGTAAATTATCCATTTATAATAACTAACAAGTATTTACTCTACCCAACCCTCTATCTAGTACAAGCAATAATCATCAACCCCTAAACAGTGTTCCCAACCCTATGAACAAACTTTTTTGGGATAGGGGACACCATCCTCTAGAATTGCTTCCTGCTTTTATGGTGGCAATGTTCTCTTAATGGGATCCTGCAAAAATTAAGTGGTGGTTAAGTTCCAAAATTACTGTCTAGCAATTTCTGGGCAGTCAATAGGATTTTTTGTTTTGTTTTGTTTTTCAAAGTTCTCATTTGGAGTTCTGGCCAGAACATGAGAAGGCGCACCATTTCAGCAGCTGGTACCCAAAACAAGCAGTCTTATAGTAGTTCTGTCTGCATTATGATGTCATCTCAGCTAGGTGGAGTTATTGTTGTAGGTCCCTATCTTCCTGGAAACTTCAGAGATTACTGCAGGAAAAGGATTTGTAGGAAAATCTATGTTCATCATGAAAAACTTAAACATCATTCATATAAACATACATTCAATGAAGAATATGATATAGACAAAAAAGGCATGAAGAAAGTAAAATTTTTTCCTAAAGTCTTTATTCTGTCCCATACCAGATGGCTCCTGATATGAGACAGAAACTCTGAATGTTCCTTTTAACAACAAGCTTGGATTTAGAGAGGTACAGAGCCATTGTCCAACTCCAAAACCAGCTATGTTTGTGTGTGTGTGTGTGTGTGTGTGTGTGTAAATGTAAGTACCTGGATTTATAAACCATATTCTGTTTTCTAGATGCTCCTTAGTGGATAGTTATTTTTTCTTCTGTCAGCATTCAAACATCCAAGGTCTCTTGATTTTTTTAATGATGTGTATTTTCCTGCAAAGATAAGAGCAGAACCCTGCCCTAACCCTTATGAGCTTTATTTACCACCTGTATGATTGTCACTGTTGTGGATGTGGTATCATCTCCCTTTTTCAAGAGGTTTCTCCTTTTCAAAACGAATCTTTATTAATTTTAATGGTATCCATAATTTTTCTTCTCCTGTGGAAATAAGAGCAAAACCCTTTCCCCAACATAGTACATCTCCTGGTTTCCATTTTGTGGTCAACACATCCTTGAAATATACCGGTTGATTCAATTCAGAAGTTTTTTTTTTTTTGTTATCCAATGCCCCTCTGCTGCTGTTGTTTCTTTCTCATTAGCATTAAGAAAATTCAAGGTTAATAAAGCATTATACAATCTATTTCTTGGGGTATTTTCCATCCCTTTCTGTTTGTTCAGCATATCCTTTACAGTACAATTTGGCCTTTATATAACTGCCTGACCTGTAGAATTATTTGGTATACCTGTAATGTGCTTTATATTATAATAAGCAAAAAATCATTTCATTTTCTTAGATACATATGCTGGACCATTGTCTGTCTTTAGTAAAATGATAGTTAAGATGGTTGGAGTCTCTCCCAAACCACAGGTGTGTCTGCAACACAGGGCAGTGGAGGGAATTTAATAAAGTAGCCTTAGGGTGAGACAAGGTGACCAGTTCAGAGATGTCACTGAGGGGCCTAGGAGAGGCTGAAGATCAGCAAGGACAGGTTTCACGTTATATCTTTAAAGAGTCCTCTGATTCAGGGAGAGGGTCAGCACAAAGTGGGGCGATGAGACCTTTACTCGGATGCAGAATGGAAGGGTCAGGCATTGTGGCCCCAGCAGAATTAAATAAAATCCATGGGACTGGGATCCTGGTGGGACAGACTGGATAAGATGGTAGCTGTAAGGATGGAGGGATGGGAAGGGAGGGGGTAGAGAGGAGAGACGAGGGAGGGCAATATAGGGAAATGAATTATTCATACTCATTACCCTGGAAGCTTTGATCTCGCTGCTCACTGTTAAACTGAGACTACGGCATAGATGTGACTCTCAACTTCAACCTACTCACTACGGAAGGATCCTCAATGATTGTGTGCTTTGACTCCATCCCGAAAGGACCTTGCAGGAGTGTATTGAAGTTATGCAGGTCTTGAGGTACCTCTTTCCTCACGCCCCAGGGTTGCTTCTTACCCAGGCTGCCAAACATGGCACCCCCTCCGTGGTAGAAGATGATGCCTCTCCTGGGACTGGAGACAGCCTTGGGCTGGAACAGCCTCGAGGGACATCCTCAAAACACAGATCCATCAGAGCCACTTTATGGTTCCTCTTCATAGCCACTGCATCTTGCAGAAACCGAAAAAAATGTGGGCATGGAGCAAATTCTCAGCTTCTCCAATATAGTCCCCTGGTGAGGAGGAGGAAAGACATAGAAAATTAAGGAGGCATGAAAAAGGAAAAGATTTTGAGAAGGGAGGAGACCTCTTTACCCCAAGTCTGATTGATGGCTGCTTTCACCTCTTTATGTAACAGGCAAGATGAGAAGTATTGACTTTTTTTATAAGATTTATTTATTTTTGCTTTATGTGTACGGATGTTTTGTCTTCATGAATGTCTATGCATCACATGCATGCCTAGTACCCATGGACCAGAGGAGGGGGTCAGATCTCCAAGAACTCGAGTTGCAGGATGGTTGTGAATCAAGATGTGGGTGCTCAGAACTGAACCTCAATGCTCTGCAAGAGCAACAGGTACTCCAGGCCCCTGCTTTTCAGCCAATAGCTTTTGGGGTGCCAGCCCTATGGGCATGGTCTGAGGTGCTACGTGTGTGCTGATAAGCAGAGAGGAGAAGCGTGCTCGCTCTCTTGGGAGCTCGGAGCAGAAGCAAGCTCGTGGGCTTGTTCACATCTCCTCCAGGCATAGTGGTGGGACTCTGCAGTTTCTACCTTGTGCCGTGTTCGGTAAGTCTATGTTTTCCTTTGTATTCCCATAATAAACATAGTTTGAGACTCTTTCAGTACCTCTCACATTAGCCTCCAAATGTTTGCTTGTTGTTTGTTTGTTTTGGAAACACATGGCCAGAAATTCACTATGTAGACCAGGCTGGCCTCAAACTAACAGAGAGTCTCCTGCCTCTGCCTCCCGAGTGCTGGGATTACACACGTGTACTGCCATGCCTTGCGTTGCTTAATGTTTGTTGGTTTTTAACTTATCAGTACTATGCTCACAAGTAAACTGCACAATTCACCCCAACAATCAGCTTACAGTCATCAAAGATAAAACTCCCTCTCCTCCACCTCGCCAGCTTTGCGCTCCCACCTTCCCACCCCTACCCTTACCTCTCCACCTCCCCATCCCCATCCCCACGTAGGTATGTGAACTTCGTTTTCTTTTTTTACTTTTTATTGATCCTTTGTGGGTTTTACATCATGCATGGCTGGCCCATTCATCTCCCCGTCCCTTCAGATTTCCCCTCTTCCCTTGTAATCTCCGCCCACAAGATAAAATAAACCTTAAAAGAAAAGGAAAAAAGAAATCTAAAGAAAAATCTCCTCGTGGAAGCTGCAGTGTGAGCCAGTGAGTCACACAGTACACCCTTTAGTCCACACATCTTTACTTGCAAGTGCTCATTGCAATGAGTCATTGGTCTGGTTGGAAACCTCTGATTTCTGTTGTTGTCGTTTTTATTCTTTGCTCTTACTCTTTGGGGGCTCGCCACCCAGCTCCCAAATAAATCATACATGGAGTCTTATTCTTTCTTATAAATGCCCCCAGCATTTGCTTGACTTATTTCTAGCCAGCTTTTCTTAAATTGTCCCATCTATCTTTTGCCTTTGGGCTTTTGCCTTTCTCTCTTTCCGTATATGTTTCTTTCCATCTTGCTCTGTGTCTGGCTGTGTGGCTAGGTGGCTGACCCCTAGCATCCTCCTCTGCTTGTTTTCTCTTGCTCCTCTTCCCTCAGATTTCTTCTCCTATTTATTCTCGCTGCCTGCCAGCCCCGCCTATCCTTGCTCCTACCTCCTATTGGCCATTCAGGTCTTTATTAGACCATCAGGTGTTTTAGACAGGCAAAGAATCACAGCTTCACAGAGTAAAACAAATGTAGTATAAACAAAAGCAGCACATCTTTACATTAAGAAATGTAAAAAAATGAAAAACGTTAAACAAATATTCCACAGCATAAACAAAAGTAACACACCTTAAAATAATATTCTATACCAAGTTTCTGCTATATTATGGATACTAGGCCCTCAGTGGGTTTCCTCTTTGGTATCCTGTTGCTATCCTGTGTCATGGAGATTCTTTACTTTCGGATCTGCAGGATCAGCCCCTTTGTATGCTCCAGCAGACATAGGTGGGATGGATATTGGGATGGGCCAACTCACAGTCCTGGTTGTGGGCCTGGGTGGTTGTTGGGTTGGTCAGCCCATCAGTTCTCCCTTCATCCTCACCAGCAGGGTGAGTTCTCCAGCACTGTCTCAGCTAGTCAGCCCTCTGCAGCAAGGAGCAAGTGGCAGGCAGGTTCTCCTGCTCTCACGCCCTCAGGGTTAGCTCACACACTACACCACCAGGGCCAGTTCTACTGTACTGCCCAGGCAGGGTCCTGCAGCTGGTAAGGGGCAAGATCAGCTTTCCTTCCAATCATAGGCGGCGAGGGGTGAGGGAGATGGGCATCTTTCTCCTGCCCTTGCCACCGCATGATGGACGAAGGCTTAGGACCATCTCTCCCACTCCCACAACCCCAGGCCAGGCTCACCTGAGCCCCCACCACAGCGTCAACTCTACTGTGCTGCCTAGGCAAGATGCAGGGCCTATTCTCCTGAGTGTTGAAGCTGGTGAGGTGCAGAGCCAGCTCTCCTGTTCTCATGATCTCTCCCACCTGCCACAGGCAGTGAGGGGGCAGAAGTTGGGGGAAGGGATTTAACTTGGTTCTTGCCACTTTCAAAAGAATCCAGCATGTATTATTCCTGTGAAGCACTGATTATGAATGTTTTACCTGTTTTCTTTTGTAATTACTCTGGGAGTTAGTGCAGTAGGGACTAGAAATGACTAATAGAGTCACTGAATATGTTGGTTGAATCTACCCATTAGGGGGGAAATTATTTTAAAAATGTGTTGCAGGGGGCGATTCTGTAATTTGAAAATTTTCTTTTTCTTCTGTTTAGAACCATAAGAATGGCTAAAGAGACGGCTCAGTGTCTAAAGGATTAACGTACTACTTGTGTAGAGGACCCAGGTTTGATTCCCAGCAACCACATCAGGCAACTCCAACTTCAGTTCCAGGGGCTTAAATTTGTAAAAAGAAAAGGAGAGAGAAAAAAATCCACACCAGATCCCTCTATTATGTTGTTGGTATGCAATCGCATTGCTGTACATAAATAAAATATGATTTTATAAATAATAAAATAAAAAGGAAGCATAACAGCATAGTTTACTAATCCTTAGGTATAGACCACGCCTTTGAACACTCGCAGCTACATTAGGATACTGAAGTGTGTCTCTTTTTCTTAATGCCCACACTCAATTCCAACTGTATACCTATTGCTTAATAAACTCCATCTGTGTTTCAAACTGATTCGTTCTGGAGTTTGTTTCTATGATGCGAGTTAAGAGCACACGTCAGTGGAATCTCTGGCAAGAACTCCTTAGGCTGCATAGATCCCAACTGCCAGCTTTATTTTACACTACCCTTGACATTCTTCTGGGGGGAGGGCTTCACCTGAGATCGTCCGAAACACTGCATCCCCCCCCCCCCCCCCCCGCGCCCTGACCACCACTGTCCCTAAAGCATTGTCTACACTGCATTCTTAGGTCAAATGGAACCATCATGGCTCCTGGAGGAAACATCACTGTAAGGAATGATGTACCAATGCTGTAAGTCACTCTGTTGCTAGCAGGCGAGCTACCCAAGAGCTTGTAGAGGTGAAGAGTCAATCACGGATTGAACGGCTCAGAGAAGTTAACGCCTTTGAGTCACACATGCTGGATTCTGAGCACACTTAGAGGGCCGGTGGTTTCGTTCATCTAAAAGTTGCAGAAGTCCATCTGTTCTCCTTATGGTAGCTAGGTATTCACTACCCTTCCTCCCCATCCTCACACACTAACTGCCTCTGCAAATCTCAGAGTCCCAGCAAGAAGGAGTCTTCCCAGCGCTGTGTCTCGAAACCACATGGTAGAGTTACACTTGCGGCCCCAGCGTTTCTCTTAACCTCTGACTTTTACTATCATTTTGCATTCATATTCAAATGACTGTTTGGTTAACTCCCTTCCATTTTCATTCCTTTCTTTAATACCTGTTATAACTATATCCCAGGAAGAAAATTCCCTATGTGATTAGAGTAACTTCCGTTTTAAAAAACAGTGTTAAGCTGTGTGTGGTGGTGCACACCTTTAATGCCAGCATTTGGGCGGCAGAAGCAGGTAAATCTCTGTATTTTTGAGACCAGCTTGGTCTACATAGTGAGTTCCAGGCCACTCAAGTCTATGTAGTAAGATCCTGTCTCAAAAAAAAAGTTTTAGATAAGGGGGTTGGAGAAATGGCTCAGCAAGTAAGAGCATTTGCTGCTCTTCCAGAGGATCTAAGTGGGGTTTCCAGCACCTACATGGTAGTTCACAACCATCTATAACTCTAGTACAAGCCTAAATGAAATTGCACCATATGGGGTGATAATGTTTTACCCAAGAGTCGTGCATTATCTAACACAAACCCCAGAACCAGGCATGAGAAATCTCCCTTTAAGTTGTAGGTCAGGTTCGGAATCCAAAGGACTTTCCAAACAATATAAGCTATTGCCAATATAACTATAAACAATAGACCAGTATTGCCAATGTCTTTGGTTGTCTGCCAGAATTGAAGGTAAGACCCTATTGTTGAAGACACCACAGATTTTGGAAGAATCGATTTGGAAGTAACAGAGGAGCTTCCTCCCTGAGAATTAGCTCTCACAGTATCAGAACATGTTATGTAAACTGACCAAGGGGAAAAGCAATCAGTACTCTACACAACTGCAAAGCCCATAAGTCACAGCCATGACTGGCCTGCCAAAATACCTCCAGTGGAGCAGTAGTGGTTCTTCTACCTTGTGGATAACCAACAGCTGTCCAATTGGACTTAAGGCCTATTCAGTACAAAGGACTTCATGTGTGGTGTCAACCTAGCTAACTCTCCGTGGTTGGAGAGGTCATAGACCCTAGAGGAGAACCTAAAACCATGTAATTTCTCACTGTGTTCTGAATACTTATCCTTAGACCTACTGTTAAGTATAGCTCTCATCCCTCATTAAAGAA